CCCCCCCCAGACTTCAGTGACTCCAAAGCACAAAGGTTTGGGGGCTCCACCTGTGGCCCCCGTTTCACCCACACGCACTGCACTACAGTCCCCGGGTGACGTCCTTGCCGTTTGCCCTTAATACCAGTCAGGAAAGATAAATCTTGAATGTGGGAAGGGCCGGAACGGGCTGCCTTGAAAATACACGCACGAAACGGGGAGACAGAAACCAGTGGCTGCAGAGATTTTGAATAAAACTGTCTCTCCCTTCGAGATAACACAACGCCCCTTTTTTTTTTTTTTTTTTCTTTCCCCGATAAATCTTGAATGTGGGAAGGGCCGGAACGGGCTGCCTTGAAAATACACGCACGAAACGGGGAGACAGAAACCAGTGGCTGCAGAGATTTTGAATAAAACTGTCTCTCCCTTCGAGATAACACAACGCCCCTTTTTTTTTTTTTTTTTTTTTTTTTCATCTTCATTCCCACGGGCCAGTCCTGCGAACCTTATCTGCAAAAGCAAATCTGCAGATAAATAATGGAAGTCGCGACTCGATTTGCATCCAGATCTGTTGCGATGGTAATTTTTCTTTTTTTTTTTTCCTCCTATTTTATTTTTCCAAATAATTTCAATGCGCATCTAAAAAAAAAAAACAACTTTAGCCTTCCTTCCTCCTAAAATAACCCTCTCATATATCGTTCACACTTCGTTTAAAACGAGCGTAAAATATAAAAACCGTATCTTTTATTGTTATTTTTGTACTTTAAAATACATCTATGTATAATTCTTTTTTTTTTCTTCATATTTCTTACTGCTATTTTCTCCAGAACCATATGTATTTCACCTTCTAGTATTCCGGATCGAATATTTCCTGTTCAATTTCGGTACTTGAATTTGCCAGAAAAGGGATGCTGTACTTAGCTAGATCTTTGGAAAAAAAAAAAAAATCTTTACTTTGGTTTTAAGTTTCTTTTCTTTCTTTAAACCTTAACACATGGCGTTTACAAACTGTATAAATACGTGCCACCAAACTGTAACCAAAAAAAAAAAAATTATAAAAAATGGAATGGTTGCTGTAGTACATAGAATTAATTATAGACCAGAACTGGACAGAAGGAGCTGGACAGAAAGAAAATAGTAATTTTATTGTAAATTATTTACGTCTGAAGTTTCTAGGCAACTAGTCGAAAAAAATAATGAATGAATCGAGCGCTGAGCCCTTGCTACTAACTTTTGTTCTGAATGTTTTGGATATTTGGATGTTTTGTATTTATGTGGTGAGAGTGAAATATATTATATCTATATGATGACGGAATTAGGTGTACTTTCGTCTTATATTCGTAGCACCCAAATTACCTTCATCTAATATGTGCGCTGCCAAAAAAAAAAAATAATCTCATCCCTATGTAATCCAAATTTTTAATTTTTTAAAATTTTATTTTTGATGTTAAAGCGGGGGGTTGTGAAGTCCATTTGGTGGAGCGGGGATCTCTCCTTCCTGGGGCAGTTTGGGGCATTCCCGGTCCCCTCGCTGGCTCCGACCCAGCCCTCGCAGCGCTCCCCGGCCCCGCGGGCCCGATCCTTCGCCCGTGGCCGTGGTTGGGGTGGCGCAGCGCGGCCCTCCGTGGGGAGGCGAGCTGGGTACCCTGCCTGTCCCGGTGCCACCGTCGGGCTCTGCCGCTCGCCTCCGCGTTGCTTCTCCTGCCTGCAGCCAGTGCCGGGCCTGGCAGGCACTTACAGACGCACATGCATGTGTGCGTATCTCTCTATCTATCTATATACAAATATACATACATATATATGAAAAAATATATATGCTTGCATGCATAAATATGGATATTTAGAAGTATTTTCTAAACAGCTCTTGCTCTCATCCTCTATGGCAACCCAGCCCCAAGAGTCCTTTGCTGGGAAGCTGGTGAGGGCCAGAACCCCTGTTTTTCAGGAGCCCCCCCTCCAAGGCCCTGGCTCCTCCAGGGTCGCAGCGAGGCCTCAGACTGGGGGTCCCCAGGCCAAGCCTCCTGCAGCACTGGGACACCTGCCTGCCCCACAGCTTTCCCCCGGCCACCGGTCCCTGGTACGGCCTCCGCTGAGCTTTGCTGGGAGCCCGTCCCAGCCAGGGCTGATGCACTGCTCTGGATCAAAAGGGAAGGACGTGGTAGCAATGGTGATTTGTTCTTGTTTTTGTTTGGTTTTTTGTTTTGTTTTTTTTTTTTTTTTTAAAGTGTGTAGAAATGATCTGGGGAAGGGCAACATGGGTGAAGGAGGGGATCGCAGGTGACATTTGAAGAGGTGACATTGAAACTGCTGGTCAAGACTGCAAAACTTCAAGGGGAGGGGAGGGGAGGCAGTGCTAAAAAGAAAAGAGCTGAGTGTGGCAAAACAGATCTGCCAGGGAGACCCTGGGGGAGAGGAAAGGTTTTGGTTTCTGCTTTGCCTGCACGGACTGCACTGCATCACCTGCAGCCCTGGACAAAGAGAGGAGCCCTGGCTTGGGTTGCCTTTGCCAAGGAGGCAATTGCCACTGCTCAAACCTTCCCTGGGCTCCTCTGCCCCGCGTGGGGCTGTCCTGCGTGATGAATTTGCCCTGTCCCACATGGACCTCTTTGCTGTTGAGATGGGGCCACTTCATCCTTGCCCAAATCTGCTGCTGCACCGTGACCCACAGAGAACACCAGCACAAATGTGTCCTGCCAGAGCTACCTCAGGTGCCTTCATCTTGAAAGAGGATTTTTCTCCTATCCTATTTTTTAACCGGAGACAGTAGGGGGGTTCCTGCCCCCTCAAGCAGGCACCGTGAGGCACTTTTTCCCTGGTCGCTGCCCTGTCCTGCGGTCCCAGGGCTGCAGCCATGGTTGGTGTAAGCTCTTTGCTTTTTGCTCCTCGCTCCTCACCTAAGGCAATTTAAGCCAGCACCAAGCTAAATTGCCCACACTGATGCAGAAATCCTTATTTTACAGCTTTGCAGCCCTCCTCAGTATACATGCGAAGAGCTAGACATTTTTATTCTTGTTACTATTACTATTAATTATTTCTGAATATTTCCAAATAAGGATGTGCCTTGAGGTGGGAAGGGGTCTTGTCTAAGCGTTCAAGTAAAATAAATACTTCAAGACATTATTCTTTCTTTTTTTTTTTTTTCCCCTGTATCCTGCAAATTCCACCTGTCCCAGCTGTTTCTGGGCTGGGGTCAGAGGAAAAGCTGCAGGCTCCCCGCTCCCATACAGGGTTATCACGGTCCCGTTTCAGGCTCTGCTTGTGGCTCAGGTCAAAGTTTTGGACCCCAACAGGGAGGGAGGCAATTTGTTGTTTCCTTTGAAACTTCCAGCATCTCAAGTGCATGGGGTTCCCGGGTGCCTAAACCCCCTCCTTTCTGCGGGAGAAAAAAATACAACATGTTCATCTGTTTTTTATAAAAAGGGGGAGGGAATACCACCTGTAGCTGTGTCACTGCATAGGACAAGTTAAAAATCACGCTTACGCACATCCACATATACAGTCAGCCTGAATAAAAGAAAAACTGCTTAGAAATAATAGTCCCATTTCTTTTTTTTTTTCTTTTTTTTTTTCTTTTTCCCCAACTACACCAAAGCTATTCCAAAGCTCTGTGCTGCCCAGAGACACTGCTTGCCTGTTCTTATTGAAATGCTGAATTTCATTCTACTGGAGCAATGAACACAAACCACCTTCGTAAAACTACTGGCTGCTGAAAGGTTTTGTTGCCTTTCATGTGGTATCGTTATTTGCGCCTGTCACTGTGGCATCTGAGCTCCAATTGAGGAATATAGAGGTCTTATGCAGAGGCAGCACGTGTGAGTGTGAGGGGTGGGAATATTTAGTAGGAAAGCAAATAGCCAAAATATAAACCTGTCTCTGGCATGATTTTTTTTAAGGAAATAATGAAAATATTTATGTGGCAGGCAGACTTTCTCAAACTTTCCTTTAGCAGCAGCTACACATAGGACAAAGATTGAGGGCGGCGTGGGTTATTTCAGTTTGTTCAGCTGAACCCAAGGAATATTTTCACAGGTACACGGGCAGAGTGTCTGGTCTCTCAGGAAGGCAAAACTCGCAGGATCAGCTCCAGAG